GCATGGCTGCAAACATCAAAGGACTGTATTTCAACAATACAAAGTGTTGCCTTGTGGCGTCTGTAAGAATGGCCTGGTGGAAGTGATCGTTCTTTTTTGTACATCCGGGAACACAAATGAACACAAACAACGAACTTATGACTGCTCTCAATTCCTGTACTCTGTATATGCGGCAAATTCCAGAGATTGCTTATATATGACTACCCTAGCTGTTCGCTGGAGACTCGGATTTGTGTGCCTTAATAGTTGAAAGTGATGTATCGCTTCAAATCATCATGAACGCATAAGCATGACTAAAAAATTACATATCACGACTAACGCATACCGTATCTGCCGCGTATTTCCTGAGAGCGTCTATAGACGCCTCCATGTGTTTCCTGGCACCTCCGTGAAGATTGCCTAAGTAGAAGTCGTCGTAGTAGCGTGCGAACTCCATGTCATTACATATCATCACACATTTGGCGGGTAATCCGTCACGCCCGGCACGTCCAATCTGTAGGTACAGAAATGAAGGAAACGCTGATCTGTCGCATATAAAAACTTTTTCATTCATACGAAATCAAAATGCTCCATTAAAATAAGAAACTATATATGTATCTAGACACATACTACCGTCAGCTGTAGAGCGACGACTCCAATTTGCGTGCACTTCTCTCGACATAATTCTATATTTGTGTGTGTATATCTAAAATAGCTCTTCACGTGTGAGAACTTAACGTGTACAAGGCAAGGTAGTGTTTATAATATTTAAAGGTGATACAGAATAGTTCTGCATCTGTGTGTTTATCTATTCCCATGTGTAAGAATGCATACATATTCCCACTAGTATGTTTTTCGGATATATATATATATGTGTGTGTGTGTGTAGACATGCTGAAAAGCGAGACACGGTCAGTAAGATCGCACCTATGTGTGCACACACGTGCCCAAACATACCCATGCCATACTTTTTAAGTTGCCAAAATGTCAGACGTGTACATTCTTGTAAATCGACGTCACTTGTTTTAGCCATAGGAGCATGTTAAGCTCTATCACGCACTTGAGAGATTGAATATTTGTGTGTTGAAATTCCGTGCGTTTCACTAATCTCGCAAATAGCTGATCACAGTTTGAGTAAAATTTGCACTTGACTGCAATATGAAACATACAAGAGCTTTATGTATGCTAATGTATAATATTCCTGAAAAGTATAATGTGTACTCTGGGGACGAACGAATAGTATCCGTTACTCAAAATGGGTCTAATGGAAATTGGAATCGGTTGGTACTCTTACCTGCTGATAGTATTCTTCTATTGTCTTGGGGGGGCCATAGTGGACAACGCGACGGGTGTCCGTCTTATCAATTCCCATTCCAAACGCTGTGGTCGCCACAATGCACTGTGCGAAGGGGTAAAATTGGAAACTGTTATCAGATGAGCAGCCCACTGGTATAGAATATAATGGAACCGTAAAATGTTCAGATTCTAGTATGAGAATAATCTACAACGAACTGACTTGAAAAGAAGAAGTAGACATGTACCGCCACCTTAACTACTAGGCAGTAGTAAATCTCTTCTCTCACTATATCTTGTCCATGCACATTTTCATATATGCGTGATAGGGACGCACATTACAAATACATGTTTGAATCTGGAAGACCCAAATTGAATACGTACCGCCACTTCGCCACTGAGGAATCCGTAATGGGCCTCCTCTCTCGAACTCAGTGACATGCCAGCATGGTACCCTCGGATTTGCACCTGGTCCTCTGACGACACAAATCGCTCCTGCAGATACTCAGTAACCTAAGAATGGAAGGCAAAAAAATACATGTCAGTCTGTGTAGATAAAACCCTAACCGGCAACACATACAAAGTTTGACCGTGTGTCAGTTTATACAGATGATCAACGACGCAAATATAATTGAGCTCAAGCCAGCTTGTGCGGGTACCCAGTGACCAACAAATAGAATTTTAACACGCGTTGGGCTGTGCAGCAACAACGAACACGTCATGGCGCAAACAGCTACAATGCGGAAAGACTCCCAGAGACAAACTATAATCTAAATGTATGTTGCTCGTCAATCTTTCCAAATTTGTATATATCCAAGTGTACATTTGAAATGTTTTGAGGGAGGCACAGCGGATGATAGTTGACGGTGGCAGTTGCAAAGAATCTCGATACTGCAATGGGTTTATACACACAGCCACCCCTTACACATTCGAAGCGAATCTATGAATACGGTATTCAGGGTCAAACAGTTGCTACAGAAATGAATCGCCATCGTTGCTAAATGTGCGTACATTATATACTTGTATACCTTTTCGACATCCTTGCGCGTCACACAATATACAATTGTGGCTTCTCCCCGCGGTCTCTTCTTCAGATCGTTGACCAGAAAATCAAGATTGGCGTCAGGACCTGAAAACAACCAAAATCGAAGAATAGGCTTTTGAAATACAGTAAACACATTCAAACTATTCCTGAAGAGTGTAGAATTGCGCACTTCGTGTGATCACGAACGTCTAGATTTGAAAGAAAATTGCAGTCATGCACCACTTAGAGCTTATTTTGGAACTTACATGCTTCACAATAACGGAATATATGAAGTTGATTGGCAGAGCTACATCTTTTGTTATGAGCATAAATTCACTATTAATGATAACATCATACACACAATT